TAAACCGAGAAGAGTAAGGCAGTCTGCCACTAGCAGTAATGTAGCTTCCAGAAATGTAACAGCTCAAGACTGGCTTCTTAGTACAGGACAACCACGGCAAAACGGTCCGTGTGCTCCTCCTCTACAAACTCACACATGGTCTCAAGGTGCATCATTGCAAACAAGCCCTGTTTTTCAAGGWGCACAATTACTACCCAGGTCGATTGTAAGCCAAGMAACTCCAGTTCCCCRAGGTGTCCAAATGCAACAWGGATKGCCAAATGTAAACAATTTCCATCCTGCTACAAGCGTTCATAATCCTTATGGCAATAATTCTACAGTCAGTGCCCCTTTGGTATCAGACAAGAAACCATGGCACAACAACAACAACTTCGTAGTTCTTCCGTTGTCTGGGCGAGTCAGAAAATGCACAGGGTGCCCTTTTCAATTTAGAGACCCCATGGGCCCTCCTTTTACAGGTTTAGTGATTCTTCACAAAGAAAAAGACACATACTACGACAAAGATGGAAACTTCCATATCTCAAGTGAAAGTAATCACTACTATCACTGCGAACACGCTTGCATCGTGAGAAGACACCCATATTTCCACCCACGACTACTGCTCATTGGGCCAGGAGCAATGTTGTTTGATCGCCTTGGACTTACTGGATGAAAAAAATGTTTAAAAAAAATTTAAAATTTTGTTATAACTTTATATTTGTGGTGAATTCTTCGGTGATTTAGGACGACAAACAGAGAACTACACTAATCAACTTCATTCTTTATTTCCCGCTAAACCATGTGCCTGCTCGCGCATGCGTACATGTAATTAGACAGGGAGCCCAAATCGTGGCTATCCACGACAATATTGTCATAAAGTTTGATGATTTCATTTTGAAAACAAGGGCGATATTTTTCGATCGCTTTGGACATACTGGATGAAAAAAATGTTTAAAAAAAAATTAAAATTTTGTTATAACTTTATATTGTCATAAAGTTTGATGATTTAATTGTGAAAACAAGGGCGATATTGTTCGATCGCTTTGGACATACTGGATGAAAAAAAGTTGAAAGTTTGTTATACTTTTATATCGTCATAAAGTTTGATGATTTCATTTTGAAAAAAAGTGTTATATTGTTTCCTCAATAAAATGAACGTTTAATGAAAATGCTATACTTCTTGAGAACTTCAAATTGCTCGTGATGTGCACAGTACTGGTCTTGTAATTCATGGAATAAAATGATTATATATTGCATTGCAAGCATGCTGGGCTATAAAAAAAATCAGAGACAAAAAGCAGAAATTAGAATTCTAAAGGACACAATTGCACACATTCCGATGCCTGTATTAAAAAATATTCAAAAAGTAATAAAAAATAGTACCCATGCAGCTTGTTTGGTTAATCATCGTTTATCCGATTTACAAATAGCACAATATAGGCCGGAAATGGTAACTTGCTTCAATTCCTAATAAAAATATATTACTATCAACTTTTTGTATGGTTCCGGTAGTTCCTGGTTTTCCGGTTGTTCCGGCGTTCCGGATTCCAGTATTCCTGGGTTTACAAACACCCCAGAATATATTTTAACTAGACGCATAACTGCGTAAACTCGGGGTTCTTGTTGATAAAATAGTAGTGAATTTGGTAAGGCTCGTTTACACTTGCGTGTTTGCCATATATTTACTATATAATTCGCTTTTGATAAGATGGGTAGCTAGTTTGATAGACAATTCATTATATGCAGTAATATAAATATCACAATTTTATAACTTCGAAAAACGCTCGACATCTTTTAGTGTGGCTATACGGCGAATGGTGTGTGGATTTGTAAGAGATTTGAGCGTGTTTGAAGTTGAATTCATGTCTTCCATCTCGTATATTAAAAGACGACACCTCGACGACACCATAAGATAGCACATGGAAGTTGTGAATGTCACGTGATGCGTACCCAGTGCATTCTAATTTGGCCGAGACGATTTGTGTACCAAATGCGACTGCGACTACCATGACAGCCGAAACCTAAACTCGGCGGTTCCACAGGAACCCCGAGTAACGAGGTGTGAAACAATTAAAGCGCAAATTGCTTTTAATCACGACAAGGCCACACAAGAGTTTTGAAACTGTATTTCGGTTTTAAATTTTCGAAAGCTACTATCCATGATCACAAAACACTTAATTGAAAGCAGCTATTTTGGTAATTCAGTTTAAAGGTTTAAAGGATGCTTAACACAAAAAACTTTAGGTGTCCTGCTTTCCAGACGAGAGACGCGCCTGATTGTCTGGAATTGCTAACAGGTTTTTGTTGTGATTTTTGCGTTTTTCACATCGCCATATTTCCAAGAATATGTATATCCCAAGCAAAAAATTTATATCATTTGAAAGAGTAATCTTTCTTCTTCTAAAATATTAAATATAACGAGAATCGTAAATATACCGGGTAGGGAAAATTGATGTTCAGAAAGCGTAGTAAATTAAGAAAATTTTTACTCTAAAAAGTATCCATACTTTGACTGCTTTTTTATGGTCTTAAAAATGACTTTGTTAAGTCAAAATTTACATCCAGATGTTTATTATTATCTTTAATTTACGATTATGAAGTCGATTGAAGTTTTTGTTTGCTTTGAATGGATCAAATAAGACGTTTTCGAGAAGCTATTGTCACGCGATGTTTCGTGTTGATTTCAGCCATTTCTAGTCGGTGTCCGTTTTTTCTAAAATTCTCGCGTTTAAAATAAAATTTTCCAAAACAAACCCAACCAMGATTCTTAGTATATAATAGGGTATCAATGGTTAAAATATGAACGATTTTGATTTTTCATCATGTGCCGCCCTTTGCTCGGTGCATGTTAGTGGACATTCGCTCTTAAGGTGTTTTTAAGGTGAATTGTGTCAGAAATTCATTTTAAGACAATGAGCAATGTACACCTGTTCAACTGATCCTTGTAGTCTTAATGTAGTTAGTTTCCAATTCACTAGGTTTTCTTTGTTATTCATAGGGTTGTATAATATACCATAGAAACTTAAAGCCGGGGAGGGATTTGATATTCAGCAGGGAAATGTGGGGTTGATGAATTGAATTGAATAGCTCGTTATAAATTCAGCGGGCTATATATCAGTGACCGGAATCACTCATATAGCCCGCTGAATTTATAACGAGTTATTCAATTCAATTCATCAATCCCACATTTCCCTGCTGAACATCAAATAAACTAAGTAAACTAAACTATTTTTCCCCTAAAAAAGACYAGTGCGGCCAGCAAAACTTGAGGAGATTTAGAGTGTAATAAGTTCGAGTCCAGCAGCTTTTCTTCATATGTTCATCAGAGAATAGAGACAACAATAACCAAGATCTTCGCCGTTACTTTTAAAAGAATCTATTCTTCGGAATTAACCAACGTGTATGAATCAGAAGTAATCGGTGTGACTTGGTCCATTCTATCCAAGCACGTACACACGGCCATTTATTGGTACTTTAGTTTGTTCCTTCTTGAATCCTTCCCTCGTATTTTTTCGAGCGAGTTCAACATCAAAAACTATTGTAATTTTTCTCATTTTTTCCCATCTGCAGACTTTGTCATCGTTATTTGCGGGAAAAAGCATGCGGAGTTCCAAATCCGATAGCAAATCGTCAATATCAAAGTTCGTCAAAGGAAATGATGTCAAACGTATTTTGAGCTATAAACAAATCGTCACTGTTCGATATCGTTTCCAGAATGACTGCTAAGAATATTTGATAACAATATTCAAATTTCGATTGCTCGCTTTCGCATGAACAGGTTTTCTTAAAGGAAACTAATTTCAACAGTCMATGAAAAAGTCTCAAGAGAAGAGGATTCTATTGTTCCAAACCCAACTAAGAAAACATTCATTAAGTCTATTCAGTTTTTTCGAAAACCACGTGAATTGAAAACTATAAGTTTGTTAGTTACCTCGCACGTCGGCATTACGCTATATGTATATAGCGTAATGACTCCGTTCTCGGTAACTAACTCTTACTTTGAACAGATGTATCAGTGAGCCGAGAAACTAGCTATCGGACCAATCGCAAGGGGCGTACTGGATATTATTAGTTTCATAATATGCTATTGCATTTATAGCTGACATCGTATATTCAAATTTGAGTTACTATTTTATCTCTCCTAGAGTTGTAGAAATATCAACACAAATTTCGCTAATAATTTGCCCCACAGCTGTCCCAAGCTCAAAAATTGTGTTGTTTACTATACGAAGATTTTTACATAATGCATCATCCCTCTAGAAACGTTTCCCGAAAATTGCACAGTGTTACTAGGTGTTCAAAATTTCAACCAAACTGCAATTTAGATGTATAAGGTTATAATAGATAGATAATAATGTCGCTCTGGATGTCGCTCTGGATGTTGCACGCGGAAAATTTCTTTGTGGAGGCAAAAATATGTATGTGTATACAAGTGCGTGTGCATTTAATAATTTATTTCATATATTTATCATATTTATATATTCATCTCATTGTCTTTTACCTGACACTTCTAGCTTCGAAAAGCTAATTAAATTGTCCACAGTTTTAATTAGAGGTCTTCATAAACTTTGTTTATCAGGAAAATGTCAGGCAATGTCATGTGCTTTTTCGAATGAAAGGAAGTGAATAATGATAATGATATGTGATATTTTAGATTATGAGATAGTTGTCACTGACGATTAGCTCCACTTGAGACCTAAAAAACGTACAATTCCGTTCATCATATCTCAAAATATAATGATTCTCGACTATCCTACAAAATTAACTTTTGAGTTCAACTACTGCTGCTGTCAATGGGTTTGAGTAAAAAAATATATATGTTTTCATATTTCAAACAAAACTTATTTCAAAAGAAAGCAACATCAAAATATACTGAACTAACCATGAAT